TGTGTGTGTGTGTGTGTATGCGTGCGTGTGTTTGTGCGCGGGCGTGTGTGTGTGCGCGTATGTATGTATGTGCGCGTGTGTGCTTGTGCTCATGCACGTGTGTGTGTATGTGCGTGTGTGTGTGCATGTGTGTGTGTGTGTGTCGGGGGGAGGGTTGGGAGGACCTCCCCCACCAATCAATCAATCAATCAATCAATCAATCTATCAATATATATATTTTTTCCACACACAAAAAACGACCCCCCCCCCCAAAAAAAAAAAAATCACCTGTTTTTTTTTCAAGGGGGTAGGGCAAGGGTTCCGGAACCCCAATCCGCAACCCCGACCCCCAACCCCCTCTCCCCTCGGTCGTTGTGGGCCGCGGCATTCCGCGGTCGCCACAGTCATGACCGCAGCCTCGAGGCCACGGTCACGGTCCGCGGTCGTGCCCGCGGTGATCGCGACCGCTGGGGATTCATAGATGTGAGGTTCTCGCAGCAGTTTATGGCACCCAGCACAAGAATCACTACGTGCACGGGGCGCCCTTCACGGTCCGCACGGACAACTTAGTTGTCAAAACTTTCCTCATGAAGCCCAAACTTTCCCCTCGACAGGCAAGTTGGTGGTGTGACTTATCGGAGTTCAGTTTCACCACTCAGCCCATCAAGGGTGAAACGAACCCCGTCGCCGACGCCTTATCCTGCTGTCCTGATCACAATCATGAACCCATCCATCTTGCTGCCATCTCCATCACCATTGTTGATCAGTCGATGATCGACGCATATCGCACTTAGTACCGTCACTGCCCGGATTATTGCGTCATCCATGCGACACTGCAGAGAGGCAAGACCATTCCCACGTACTCACTCGGTGAGAACGGCCTCGTATACTTGCATGGCAGATTTGGTCAGTTAGAATCACGTATCTGCGTTCTCTCCACCGGACAACTCCGTGTTCAGGTTATAGCAGAGTTCCATGACCAGACAACTGCCGGTCATATGGGCTTCCACAAGACGTTGGCTACTGTTTGCCGTCGACACGTCTGGCCGAAGTCCAAGGACTTCGTCAAAGCCTACATCCAGGAGTGTCCTACCTGTCAGGAGGTGAATAGTGCGAACCACCTTCCGTATGGGTTACTTCAGCCCTTATCCATACCCGAGGGTCATTGGCAGTCCATCTCGATGGATTTCATTAGTCCCCTCCGCCCACCCACTGAGCGCGGTCATAATGTTATCTTTGTCGTCGTCGATCGCTTCACGAAGCGTGCACGTTTTGTCCCGTGTCGCTATCGCATTATCGCTCGTGAGGTCACCGACATCGTCTTCGACCGAGTCGTGAGAGATCACGGCTTACCTCAAAGAATCACCTCCGACCGTGACCCACGCTTTACCAGCACATTCTGGTGACGCCTAGATGAGGCGTACGGATGCCAGCTCCGCTTCTCATCGTTTTACCACCCTCAGACGGATGGTAAGACTTAAATCACCAATAAAACTTTCGGTAATATCCTCTAAAAATTTGGTAGGGATGACCAGGAGTGACACTAACACTGAGCCCACACAGAGATTGCGTACAACCACGCTGCTTCGCCAGCCACGGGGATGTCGCCGTTCTATTGCGACCTCGACTACCACCCTCCCGTACCCTT